CTGTAATACTTTAAACAATAAAGATAAATTTTAAAAAATACTTGATTTATATTTAGCCACCTTACCAAAATAGCTCATTAATTCTAGTAATTTTTTTTCCTATACTTTCTTGGGTTTTCTAGGTATACAATTATGTTGTTGCTTCTCTTCTAGTAATTATACTGATTGCTTTAAAATAGTGTCTTCTACAACTTGCTAGAACCTCAAAAACAATATCAGCTATTGCCCTGGCCAGGTGGCTCAGCTGGTGGGGGCATCAAACACCAAAAAGTTTGTGGGTTCAATTCCCAGTCATATACCTAGGTTGTGGGTTCAATCTCCAGTCGGGGCACGAAAGGGAGGCAACCAATTGATGTTTCTCTCTCACATTGATGTTTCTACTTCTCTTTCCCTTTCTCTCTCTCTAAAATAACAAAAAAAAAAAATCAATAAACACATCCTCAGGGGAAGATTTAAAAACAATATCAGTGCTAATAGCAATTTTAGGGGTTTCTGTCTTGTTCTGAAATTTAATGTGAATGGTTTGAGAGTCACCATTTAGAATGATGTTTTTTCTTGTCTTAGCAGTTAGTACATTCAGCACAATGTTGAAGAGCAATAGTGATGATCCTTGTTCTGTACTGGTTTTAAAAAAATAGTTCTAACATTTCACTTTTTTTCTTTTTTCTTTTTTTTTTTAAATTTAAGTCTAGTTTGCAGACAATCTTATATTGATTACATTAGTATAAGATGTACAATATAGTTATTCAACATTTTTATACCTCACAATGTGATCACCTTGCTAATTCTAGTAATCTTCTGTCACTGTAAATTTATCACAGTATTATTGACTATATTTCCCTCCCCTTTTTCACTCATCCCTCCATCCCATCCTTTCTCATAACCATCCTTTTGGTCTCTGTTTCTATGGGTCTGTGTTTGGTTTGTTTTTGTTTGATTGCTTGTTTTGTTTTTTTAGATTTCACATATAAGCAAAACCATTGTTTTTCTCTGCCTGACTTATTTCACCTTATAATACCTTTTAGATCCACTCATGTTGTCACAAATGGCAAAATTCTAATTCAAAAAGATATCCAAAGTGGGGGAAAAGTACATTTACAGTTGTGAGTACATGAAACACAGAGTTTATTCTTGTATTATTATTTATTAATTATTGTTTTATTTTCTATATGAATAACTGTAAACTTACTTTTGCCCCACCCTGTATGCACCTATGTTCATTGCAGCATTATTTACAATACTCAAGATATGGAACCAACCTAGATGTCCAAAGATAGATAAATGGATAAAGAAGATATGATATGTATACAATGAAATATTATAGAGCAATAAAAAAAAGAATGAAATCTTGCCATTTACAACAACATAGATGGATCACCTTTTTAAAAATACTTGCTTTTTTATTAATGTAATACTGGCTAATAACATTATACAAGTTTCAGGTGCACAACATTATTATTCAGTACCTGTATACACTATAGTGTGCTCACCATCCAAAGTTTAGCTTCCATCCATCACCATATATTTGACTCCCTTACCCATTTCACCCTCCCCCACCCTCTTCCCCCTCTGGTAATACCCAATGTGTTGTCCATATTTATGAGTTTGCTTTTGTTGTCTTTTGTTTGGTCATTTGTTTCTTTTTCCTTTTTTTTTTTTTTTTTTTTTTTTTTTTTTCCCCCNCCTCTGGTAATACCCAATGTGTTGTCCATATTTATGAGTTTGCTTTTGTTGTCTTTTGTTTGGTCATTTGTTTCTTTTTCCTTTTTTTTTTTTTTTTTTGTTGTTGTATATCCCACGAGTGAGATCATATGTTTGTCCTTTTCATTCTGACATTTCACTTAGCATAATACCCTCAAGGTCCATCAATGTTGTTGCAAATGGCAATATTTCATCCTTTATGGCTGAGTAGTATTCCACTGTACATAAAAGGTGGGGCAAAAGTAGGATTACAGTTGTATGTGAAACAATTTATTCTTGCATTATTATTTATTAATTATTGTATTATTTTCCATGAGAACCAGCTGTAAACCTACTTTTACCCCACCCAATATGTAGCACATCTTTTTTATCTATTATCTATCAAAATATACTTAGGTTGTTTCCATGTCTTGGCTACTGGGAATAATGCTCCAATGAACATAGGAGGATATATATCTATACAAATAAGTGTTTTCAAATTTGGGGAGTAGATACCCAAAAGAGGAATTGTTGGGTGATATGTAATTATGTTTTTAATTTTTTGAAACAAAATACTATTTTCCATAGTGGTTGTACCAATTTACATTCCCACCAACAGTGTGTAAGGGTTCCCTTTCTTCCACATCTTCTCCAATACTTTTATTTCTCGTTTTACTTATAATAGCCACTCTAACACTCTAGTGAGGTAATAATCTCATTGTGGTTCCAACTTGCACTCCCCGAAAACATTTTATCATTTAATATGATGCTTGCTGAAAGTTTTTGATGGATACCTTTTATCAAGTTAACAAAATTAATTAACTTATTAAATCATTCAATAAATATTTACTGAATACTTCCTAAGTATCAGGTTCTATTCAAGGCACTTGGGACACATTAGTGAATAAAATGGGCAAAAACTCTCTGGTCTAGTAGACCTTAAATTCTAGTTGGGGAAGATAGTAAATAATCAAGATAAAAAGCAAAATATAAACTATTTTAGATGATGATAAACACTAAGAAAAAATAAGGCAAGGAAAGGAAGTAGTGAGTGTTAGGGACAGGAGAGAGGTTGCAATCTTATATAGAGTGGCCAGAGAAAGGCCTCACATAAGAGGAGCTATCAGAGAAAAAAACTTTAGAGAAGAGAGGAAGCAGACCCTGTGTCTATATGAGGGAAGGCACTCCATCTAAGTGCAAATCAAGTGAAAATGCCCTGGAGTGGGAGTTTGTTAGGCCTATTTGGGAGGGGAGGGGGGAGCAAAAAGGTCAGTGTTTAGTAAAGTGCATGAGGAAGAGAGTAGAAGATGAGACCAGAGAGGTAAGGTGGGGTAAGATCACATCAGTCCTTTTAGACATCTAGAGGACTTGGACTCTGAGTCTGACTGAGATGGGGACATTGCAGGGTACTGAGTAGGGAAGACACATATGACTTATATTTTAACATGATTGCTCTCACAACAGGTGGAGAATAGTCTGGCAATGTGGGAGACAAGCTTAGGAATAGGGAGAATAGTCATGAAGCTGTTGCAGTAATATAGGCTTTGGACAAAGAAGGGGGCAATGGAGGTGGTGAGAAATGCACAGACTCTGGGTAAATTCTGAAAGATAACCTGGCTGGAGTTGTTAATGGATCAAATGTGAGGATGGAAAGAGAGAAATCAAGAAAGATGACTGTTTGGCCTGACCATTTCTAGTTGCTAGTAAGGTGTTTTATAATTAGGAATTGATTTTCACTGAACGCTTTCTCTGCATCTATTTGTGATCATATGGTTTTTCTTATTTAATTTGTAAATGTAATAAAATTATTACTACATTATTTTATTTTATTATGCTAAATGATCTGTATATTACTCAGAGGAGGACATTTTAGCTACTGTTTTCCATCATCTCCATGCTCTTTATTCCTTCATTTGTTTTGTAAGTTACAATACTTGAAGCTATATGTATTACCACCATATCTTATGCCAAATAGACTTTCAGGAACAAGTATGGGGACCTAACTACCATTTGAAACATTGTTTCTACAGGTAAAGAGCTTTGAATTCCAGACAACTGGTTTCCCAGTGAACCTTAGAAACTAAATTATTCCAGGAGTGGAAAATATATCCAATGAGGGAATTATCAGGACTTTCAGTTTCCAGCACAATTTTCCAAAACCTTCATTCTCAGTAGAATGCAAGCTAGGAAACCTGGTCTCTGTCTCCTTGTGCTCAAATGATAGTGCAGTGATGTTTCTTTTTAAGGTACCCTTGCTTGAGTCCCAAGAACAAGGAGTCCTTTGATGTGGGCAGTAACCTCTTTGCCAAGTTTTCTGCATATATAAAGAACACACAAAAAGAGGCAAATAAGAGTAAGACAACTTTCTTTAAATCTGTTTTTCTCACTCACGTGCTCACTTTTTCATTCTCACTCAGCTAAAATAGGATTTTCCTGAATATATAGTATATGTTGGGGAATACCCTTCCTCTCATTCTCTGTTCTCTTTTCTGAAATTCCTTTGCATGAAGTTTTATTAGATTTAGAACCCAAGATTCAATATAGAAATTACCAACTTAGCTCAATTAGAGCATTGGCATGCCAGGTATAAACTAACTGCAGGACTTGATTTGTTAGGTGCCCCTCTCAACTTTCCCAGTCCTGCATACCTTTAAGTTTCTTAAACCATAGCACCTAGCATCTCCCACAAACATCCCTGAAGTTTACTATCCTCTGAGTCAAGAGAGCTATTAGTCTCTGATTCCACTTTCTGACTCTTCTATGTTGAGTAATAACATATCACTTTTTTTCTCTTTGACTCTCCTCCCAATGCACTTCAAGAAAAATTTAAAAAATCTTTGTATTCATCATTTGATTAAACATCTGACTCTGTCTTATTAGTGGGTAGTTGAGCATTCTAGTAAACTATTTAGATTTGTTATAGCCAGTATAAAGAATGTGTATAGACAGAGATGTCTAAATATGTGAAAAGCATATTGAGAATGTATTTAGTCATGAAAACAATATATTTATAAGTAACCTTATGACTTCATTGCCTCAGATTTTGAAAAATCTCTGCTCAGAGAATTTAAACGTCTGGATGACTACTTAAACACCCCACTTCTGGATGAAATTGATCCAGACAGTGCTGAGGAACTCACAGTTTCCAGAAGATTGTTCTTGGATGGGGATCAGCTGACACTGGCTGACTGCAGCTTGTTGCCCAAGCTGAACATTATTAAAGTAAGTCTTTATAAGGTAGCTTGAATGGTTTGGGCTGGGTTTGGGAGTTACCACCATGAATCACAGTGACCATTCTGTGTGAAGATGTTATATGATGGCTTTATCATCATCATTATGCATAGTGTATATCTCCTGTCTCTCTTCGGAGGAAAAATCCATGATCTCCTCTGGGAAGCATGAAATTTTATTTCTTCCCATACCAGGTATTTCCCACTGTGTTGTCTATAAAACAAGAATAATATTACCCATTTCACAGAATTCTTGACAAAATTAAATAAATTAGAACGGTGTCTGGATCACAGCAGTGATATAAATAATGTGAGCTAGTAATATTATTATGATAATGTAATCACTAACAAATTTTTACTGAACAGAATTTATTTTATCTCAGGTCTTATGCCAGACACAGAGAGTACATGAAGAAATAAGACATAGTTGGGACCCTAAACAACCCCTTAGTCTAATGGGGAGATATGTGTTCTTTTTATGTGCTTCCTTCTTCTAAACATTCATAATTAAATGCAGCTTAATATAAATATGATTGCAAGCATATAGCCTTGTCTACGTTTGTACACAAAACATTAAGTAGTAATTCCAAGATTCTTTAATTTTATTTTGTAGTACTTTTTTGTTAATCTTCATCAGGGGATATTTTTTTCATTGATTTTTAGAAAGAGTGGGAGGGAAAGAAGGAGGGAGGAAAGGGGAGGAAGGGAGAGAGAGAGAGAAACATCCATGTAAGAGAGACACATCAATTGGTTGCCTTCCGCACGTGTCCCGACTGGGACCAGGGAAGGAACCTGCAACCCAGGAACATGCCCTTAACCTGGAGTCAAACCCACAACCCTTGGGTGCACAAGCTGACAGCTCTAACCACTGAACACACCAGCCAGGGCATGTAGTACTTTTGTGTAGATCACATGTCCACAATGATCTTGACTTTTGAGATATGGTTTTACAGACTAGGTATGTTACTGATGTCTTTTACTACCAACTGTATTCTCCAAAACCTTAGATTGCTGCCAAGAAATACCGTGACTTTGACATTCCAGCAGAATTCTCAGGAGTCTGGCGCTATCTCCACAATGCTTATGCCCGTGAAGAATTTACCCACACGTGTCCTGAAGACAAAGAAATTGAAAATTTCTATGCAAATGTGCAAGTGTGGCTAAACAGTAGTTAGGACAGCTCTTACAGCAGAAGAAGCTCTCATATTAGAAATGTTTTTGGAAATAAGAACATGGAAAATATTGTTTTCTCTATACAACTCTCTTATAAAAAAACAACGTTGTATTTTCTGTATCAGGCGACTGTGTATTTTAAATGTCTTTACATTTTTGCTTAATTTTCTTTATTCCCATGGCATAACTACTGCAATTATAACCACTGAAATCCTAAATGATATGGAAAGCACCAAGATCTTTTGCTATTTGATTGAATTCCTAGAATGCATCATACATAAGCTCAATAGATGGCTGAAGTTATAAATGACATAAGTAGAGCCACAATTTCAAGCTGCTGCTTAGAAAAATTCCATCTAAATCATTAAAACAATTTTAAATTTTTGTTAGTTTCATGTATACATGAGTTTATTTCTAATATGAGTAATGAAATCAGAGAGTGAGCATATCAGAGAGGCAAATCCTAAAAGAATGATTTTTTTAAATCAGCTGTAGGAATTGATCAAGACCAACTGGTCTTAGAATGGTCTTCAACACCTAGAAATATGACTGCTTCATAGTCAGAGATGAGAATGAACCTTTCTGGCTAGATTATATTGTTAACAAGCATTCATTAGAAAAAACATAATAATAATTTTTAAAAGATTGGAAGCAAATATATGGCAAAGGTGCAAAGTAAATCTGATCTTTTATTCAACAGAAATAAAAAGGACACTAAGAAATCTTACTTATCAAAGGTCTTGTAGCTGCCCTTAAAAGGATAAGGCACACTGTCCTTAGAGAATAATCACACAGCTTTCTACAGAACTGAAAATGTTCCATTGTATATGTACTCAAGTTTACATGATCAAATACAATCAAGCCCCTCAAATCTGAAAACAAAAACTGAACTTAACTATCTGTCTTTCGTAGGAGAAACAAAGTTCAACCTCAAAAAAGGAAGGCACAGTATTATTATAGGCTTTTGGGGAAGGGTAGAGTTTAAATTTAAGTGAGGCACAATGTTTTAATAGGTTCCAAAAAAAAAAAAACAACAAAAAAAAAAAAAAAAAAAAGAATTTGTAGGAGTGGTCAGAGGAGGAGGAGGGGGAAGAAGGGGAGGAGGAAGAGGAAGAGGAAGATGGGCTGTGGTGGCAGCAGACGTGGTAGCAGTAAATGTAGTAAAACTTGTAATAGCCATGGAAGTAATATTAGTAGAACAACAACAACAAATAGTAGTGGTAATAGTAACAGCAGCNCCTGGGAATAGAAAGGGCTCCTGTCCTTGGAAACCACAGAGTTAAGATAAATGTATAATGTGGAACCTCCTCTTTGCTGGAAGACCTCTGATCTGAGAAATTACACCTGAACTAGATGGTGGGGTTGTGGCTTCTCTTAATAGCTCAGATCATTCTATTCTCACTGATATGATTTTAAAGAATAAAGTTTTTTTAAGATCTATGATTTTTTTTAGGTTAACTTTGATCCTGAAGTTCCACTTTATTGTCCATACCATGGCTTTGATCTTTGCATTAAAATAAATTTTTTATTAAATTTATTGTGGTGACATTGTTAATAAGATTATGTAAGTTGCAAGTGTACATTTTTATGATACTAGATCTGTACATTGCACTGTGTGCCCACCAGTCAGTCAAATCTTCCATCATCATATCTTTGGCCCCTTTTACATTTTACTCCCTCTCACTCCCCTTCCTACTGGTAACCACCATACTGTTGTCAGTTGTATATCCCACATATGAGTGAAATCATATGGTTCTTAGCTTTTTCTGACTGACTTATTTTGCTCAGCATGATATTCTCAAGGTCCATCCATGTTGTCTCAAATGGCAGTATTTCATCCTTTCTTATGACTGAGTAGTAGTCCACATCTTCCTTATCCAATCATCTATTGAAGAACACTGGTTGTATCCATGACTTGGCCACCATGAATAATGCTGCAATGAACATAAGGGTGCATATATCTTGCAAATAAAAGAACCCATATAACTCAACACCAAACAAACAAACAATCGATTAAAAATGGGCAGAGGACCTGGACAGACACTTCTCCCAAGAAGACATACAAATGGCCATCAGATATATGAAAATATGCTCAACTTCACAAGTTATTAGGGAAATACAAATCAAAACTCCAGTGAGATACTACCTCACACCTAGAGGTTAGAATGGCTATTATCAACAAGACAAGTAATAAGTGTTGGAGAGGTTGTGGAGAAAAAGGAACCCTCATTCACTGCTGGTGGAAATGGAAACCGGTACGGACACTATGGAAAACAGTATGGAGGCTCTTCAAAAAATTAAGAATAGAGTTACCATATGACCCAGCAATCCCTCTTCTGGGTATCTACCCCAAAAATGTGAAAGGTCTACGACTTTAAAGAATAAGCCTTCTTTAACGGCTTCTGTAAAAGCTTCTTGCCCTGAAATTCACTAATAGATGTTTTTATAGATTACACCATACTTAGTGCTCATGTCACCACAAAGCTCCAGCATATAGCAAGATGGGCAGCTGTGACAAATGTTATCCAACTCCATAGGTACTTCTATAGCTTAGAATTATCCTCATAGACAAAATGATTATTATCTTCTTAGATACCTCAATACAATTCAACTCATAACTTCTCGACTACTTACTATGTTTTAATTATTTTTTAGTTATTTAATCCTCACAAAAACTCTATATGAAGTATGTAAAAACACAATTCAGTCTCACTCTAAAGGAATTGCCCTTATTTTCACAAAACACACTGTTCAATAATAGAGAAAGGTATTTAGACATGAAATTACAATACATATGTATTATGAAAAGAGTGAGCACAAGGTTATATAACAGAAGTACATCCTTTCATGTTACCCCAGCCTGATTTCAAACAAGCTCCACTTGGTCATATAGCCTTTGCATAGCACAACCTCAGCGAAAATTCTGAGATGTGTTTTTATGAGCAGGTAAATATAGGCCTTACACACATGATTTCCAACCTGGACTGACACATGACTCCAAGGTGAGTTTCTGGATGAACTCAGCACCAGCAACCTCTTCCCTTACTGATATAAATTACCCAATATGAGAAAGGGAAGTTTTACCCATCGGGATCACACTTTTTTTTTTTTTTTTTTTAAA